ACGCAACATACATCTTTCTTTAAAACGCGTACTTTCATAGTTTACACACAGCTGAGAAAATGGAATTGGTTCTACCCTAATTCTTTTTGTTTACATGCGTGTGTACAGGCCAGAGTTCAACGTGGCAGCGTTGCAGATAATTGAAGAATCGCAGCAGCAGAGTGCGAGGAAAGTACTGGTGGGTGTTCCTGGACTCACATCTGCAGGACATGTCATGAGTGTCCCACCAAAGCTCACTCAATGGGAAAACTCTGGCACCACATTCACAGAGAGCATACCCCGCTGCGCTGCTGTTTTCCTTGTGTGCAAAAACTCCCCGCTGCAGTGGGGAGGGGTGGTGTTTTCAGAGTTCAGAGTTCAGAGTGAAACACAGGGTCCTGGAACAGACAGCCACAGATACAGATGGGAGAAAACAATGTGATAACCCTCCAACCATTTCAGTCTCTTCCTGAGGCAGAGCTGACACTGCGTGGCATAGGGGGCCTGTGTTGGTACCTTCCCACTTACAGGGGGTCGACAGAGCCCTCATCCTTTGGAGGATGGCCCCACCTCCACCCCTGCGCCCTGTCCTGGCACTGACATTTGTTCCGTGCTCTGAAGTGTTTGCCTCCCAGCCCTCCATGCATACCTATGTCTGTATCCATATCCACACCCACATATTCATATATGCACATAATGTATATTGATTTACTCATTTGACAAACCTACTGAGCCCTGCATCAAACATTGCCGACAGCCTCACCAGTTTCTGCAATGCCATTACCTGCGTCCCCAGTTCCCCGGACATTTCATCATCTGTATTTTTTGATAGTGAGATGTCTCAAATGTTTTCTGGGAGGGGGTATTTATTAATAAGAAGCCGCCGGAGTCCTCAGAAACACAGAAAGGAGCTGGAGTGCCATCAACAGGGGATTAGAGGTCAGAGGACACCAGCCACTGGTCATGAGGGGTGGCATGCTGGTCAACATTAGGAATTATCTCTCCCCGTCTTTAATGAATGAGCTGCAAGTATTTCTCAAGGCTCCTCGAGTGGTACCACCCCGATGGAGGACACCCAGCGTTCTCCATCTCAGCACCCCAACCAGTCCAAGCATCTCTGGACAACATTTACTGCATAAAAGCTTACCTTTGATAGCTCTGTCTATAATCTACATGGTACAAACAGAAAGGCAAGCACACACATTTTTAAAAACGGGCTCTGCACGTATTCTACATATTATCAACAGAGCCAGACAAATTGAAAAAAAGAGCTTAATAAAACGTATTATTAATTGAATCAGGACACATCAAAGCGGCATTATGGACACTTTTTTAATGACAACAGATGGTAAATTTATACAAATTACAGGCTAGAATACAATGAATACAAAATCCATCCAGATAACGATTAGAAAAGCATCACTTACAAAAGTAAATCTGATTCAAGTGGCTAAAGAACTCAAGCCCCCCATTCTGATAATTACACACGGCTTAAAACACAGCACATCTAAATCCTCCCCCTAGTCAGGGCACTATTCAATACTACAGCATATTCAATGACTCTAATGATTGAAAGATTCTAACACTTTTAGCATTGACGTCAAGAGACATCTTGTAACAGGTTCACTATGCAAAACTCAAACGGGAATATGTGAACGTTCTTTGCAAACCGTAAGGTGCTGTGCAGATGTTGTTAGCTATTGCTATTATTACTGTCCAGTGAGATTTCACTGAACATGGAAGAAAAGGAAGACTACTCTGTATAACTGACAAATATGACTTATAGGATATCTTCAAAGGAACGCAAATCATTACTTTCAAGTACACACAGCAACAACACAGGCGAGGAAAGTGTGGCCAGGACTGATGGCAAGGAATTCCTGACTATTTCAAAATATATATAAAGGTTAAGCTACTCGTGGATTATGTGTAATATTTATTGTTAGATTCCTGAAGTTCCTGAATATAATTTTTTTTAGGTGGCCCTTTCCCCCTGAAAAAGGGAAAATAAATCTTGCCAAGTTATTAATGTGCTGCTTCAGCCTAGTTTCTGCACAAATTTATCTTAAACATAGGAGTAGAGTCTGAATTAAGTTGTACTACTCTGGTGGATGACACAGAGCACTCGACAGCAGAGAAACCTGCCACTGACCTCAGACAAGTGACAAATTCTGTGCCGGAGTTGAACCATTTATCACATAGGCCTAACAACAGTTTATGACTTCACTCGGGCATAAATTAAACAATAAACATGAACTTGTCTAGAGACAAGGAATACACACTAGATACATTTAAAATAGGATTTCATCCTTCGTTTCATGTACCTTCAGGTTTAATCTTGTGTCATGGACAACTGACCTGTTTAACCATTTTTACTGGTCTCCTTGGGTATGCTAACTGGATGTATAAAATGTACGTGAAAATGAAAAATAAACACCGACAAGTTAATCAGCTGCTTCTTTTGGCAAAGCCAATGAGATTTTTATGATGAAAACGTTCTAATTATCACAGTGCATTTCTCTAGATTCCTAGGAAACGCAGGGTTTTTAATGGCAGGTTCAAATTTCTTCACTAACGACTCAAAATGAAATTCTACTGTCATATGTAAAATAGTATCCATTTGAAGAGCTAATGACATCAGATGCATTCTACAGCAGACTTTTCATTTTTCAGCATGATGGGGAAAAAGATTACATTCTGGGGGGCAAAATGAGAGGTGGGGAAGGTAATGTGTTACAATAAATGGGGTTAAATCAGTAGCTTGGACTGACTTCAGGTTATACTTCCTGACTGAGGTTATTCTTACAATCAGTTTTCACACAACAGTGAACATACTCCTACCTTAAAACATTTACAAGGGCTCAACTGTAGCTTTTCTTTCTATACATGCTGAAATGTATATAGTGTACAAGAGGAAATGAGAGACATCTGGAAAAATAAATCTATTTGTCAAACACCATATGTTATTTAATATAGTTAACAACAGCAGTAAAAGAGTGCGTCAACAGTTAAAACTCTAGGAAAAAACTAAATGCTTTGAAAACAAGCCTATCTTGTAATAAGCCTAAATATCAACCCCAGCATTCGATTTTAACTCTCAAATATTTGGTTCTTTTTCCAAGAGGAAATTGCAACTGCTTTTGCATGTATCCCTGGTTTAAATACTTGCAAAAAAAAAATACTCATTATCACTAGCTACTTAGCAAATGTCTGAAACCAAACAAGATAATCCAACATTGGACATTAATATTTTACAAATACCATAAAATCCCCTAAGTACAAGAAAAACCTCGGCAGTATATAAAAAGAAATTAGGTGGACAATTCTAAATACGACAGGGCATCTTAAGAGGGGACCATCTAGAAATCTACCACATAATACCCCAGACTCAAATGTCATTATAGTAAAATTGTAGTCTTTGCCAAAACACAAAACCAAAACCAAAACCAAAATCTTACATTTAGAACAACTGCTTAAGGACATTTCACCATAAGCAAGAATTAAAAAGTCCTGTAATCATACTAATCTTTCATATTTCTCAACAATTAAATAAAACAAATGCCTATTTGACTTTTCTGCCTGGTTATTTCTCTATTCCTTTTGTCCAGTTTCACAGTATAAAAAATAAATGTGAACAAATTGGTAATGGCAAACACTTAAACAAGGGGCACTGTATTAGGATTATCAATAACGGCGAATTTGAATTTTTAAAAAGGTAGAATGTGCTTTTTCCAGAAAATGGCCAAAAATCAGTAATCTGAAAAAATACAAATAGCTGTCAGGAAAAGTTGGCAGAATTTGAATTTAAACTAAATTTTTAACATGTATCTAGCCAGCATTGAGAAATGGCTTTCAAAAACACACAAATATAAGCCCAAATAGTGGTTATCTTCAGGTGGCAATATTATGGGGGATTGGAATTTTCTTTCAGTTTTGAACATCTATTTTTCCAGTTTTCTATAGAGAACATATATTATGATTTTATAATAAAACAAACATTTGTGGGGAGAGTGTTAGACTGTACACAAATAGTGCCGATTGATGAGAAAAAAACAAAACAGACTAAGAATACTCAAATAAAATCAAGGGCTTTTTTCCTATCAGAAAATAACTCAAGGACTGTCTTAATTATACAGAGGGTCTCCCTCAAAAATATACATTTTAAGAATGAAAAAAACTGCATTAAAATTCTACTACTCAATATATATCAAAATAAAAGATGAATACAAGTAACATTTGACTTCTGCCATTACAAGAGGTGCTCAAACATGCTTAATCAGACACTTCTGATTAAGGTAAACTAAAAGTAATACACAGATAACATCGCTTAAAATGTGTACACATTTTTGGGGGGGCATCCCTGGGATATAACTTAGCTCTGATTTTAAAAGACTGATAGATCAGAAATCCCAAGGAGTATACTTTCTGGGTAATAAAAATAATCTGTTTTCAGTATTGTTTATGCTCCCAACATATGCAAAAATGAACACACTTAAATGTAAATTCCCGACATACACACTATAATAAAATAAACAGTAGGAAAAACGGTTTGAGATGGATCTTCTCCAAACCCTGTAATTGAAGCGTAACTTCAATGCTAAATGAGGAAGCAAGGCAGATCATTACAGTTGGTCTGAGAAGCACAAAGCTGGCTTTTAAGGGATGTCAGGAAGCAAGCCGAGTGCCGAAGCAGTGAGCTCTCTGCTTTACTGTCTAGGTCCCTCGGTAAACCAAAGGTTTTTTACCTGAATGGGTATGATTTAGCCTACCTTTCCCATCAAATAATGTAACGAAAGATTCCTATTGACTAGGGATTGCACTTTATGTGCAATTTCTTAGTGACATTCAGATTAATTCCAGTGTCCATGATTTAAGCAACTTTCCATAGGAAATGAAAACCCCAAATTCAAGGACCTGGTATTTTCATGCTAAGGAAAGTATTCAGCGTCAAATGAAGTTTAGTTGCCTCACATCTTAACATATCTAGAGGAGTAAAACTCAAAAGTAACCATAAGTCAAAATGCTATAAAACATTTTTTATTGTAACATCATAAAATTCTTTCCAGATAATGTGTAACGAAGTTAACATTTTCATTTTTAACTAATTTAACGTTTTCCAAATTCTCATTTACAAATGAGATTCACAGTTACAACATCATACAAAACAACATATTAGAAGGATCAAAATGTACACTACTCTTCTGTGATTACTGAAGGCTGAATTGAACGCATTCTTTCCACTTTATTCAAACCATCAATGCCCCCCCCAACATTTAGCATTTAAAAAAAAACAAGTTAATCCTATCAAAAGGTGATGTTTGCTTTAATCCTGTTTGCCTTCACGCCACTGACGTGAGCCTTCATTCCAAGCCACATACACAAAGAGGGCCAGCACCACATGGACGGCAACCACTGCGACAATAGCAGCATAAAAATAGCTGTCCCTATTGGACATTCCAAGGGCGCCTATCAAGAGAAAACAACAGTGTCCATTATATTCCAGAATTTACCAAAGAGCTAAAAATAAACCTACTCATTTTTACTACCTATATATTAATTAAACTAGTCAGGCAATTAAAAAGTAATACTTTGGGTGGCAACAAATCAAGCATTCATTAAAAGATTTGAGTACCTTCTATATACTAAAAGCATGACTTTAAACGAAATCATATTTAGAGCTTCGTCTAAGGACTTTGACATCAAAAAGGGCACTTCATTTCCTCTTCCTTCTCTTCCCTGACACCAAAAGTCCATTCCTCCAAATTTCTCCCATGTCCAACCTCTGCTCTTACAGGGATACTAAAATAATTTGCAAGCTACTTCACAAAAACCATGAACAAATAAGATGTAAAGCTGAAGCAACTACAAGATATTTCATGAAATAAAGATTCATTATGACCAATGTGATTTTTGAAAAGCAAAACAGACAAAAGAAAAAATTAAGAACCCTCAGTATACACACATAAAGAAGTCATAAAAACCATTCTTAAATTAGTAAGGGGGAAAATATATTGTTTATGAATCTAAGATTACCTTCAAATATATACGATTTGGTTGTGAAATATAACCCAATAGGAACAGTGATCATTAAAGCTGTGAAGAACAGGAGCGTCTTCAGGGTAGATGCTAATGAACTTTCATTTCTGGAACAAAGTAAACAAAAAGAAAATCAGAACCTGCACAGCCAGGTCCAAATGCTCCTATGCCCAAATGCCATCAACAGCCTCAGACGCGATGCTGGAAAGCCTGTCCCTGCCTCACAGCGGAGGCGAGTGGAGGACGATCACAGGCGAGGACTCATCATCTCGGGATCCCAGAGACCCAGCTGCGGGCAGTCGGAATTTCTTGAGGTGGAACGTAGGAATTCCTCCACCATCTTCAAGAGGTATCCTTAAGATCCAGTGTGAGAGGAAATTGCCAGAGTGCTCCAGACCAGCGGGTAACTTGGGCGAACAAACCGGATAGAGGCTCCAGCCTCTGGAATCAGAGCTTCTGCGCAGGAAAGTCACTGCGATCAGTCCCTGAGTCCACGCAACACTCTGGCCACCATGACGCATGTGGACCAACGAATGAGCAAGCCACACGCAGACCAGCGCACGCCCCTCCCACTGGAACAGAGCTCCTATCACCCTAAGCCGCAGGCACCCTGGTCGCCACAGTACAAGCGGGCCAGCAAATGAGCAAGTTGGTGCGCAGAGTGGCGAGCCCTCTCCCACCGGAACGGAGCTCCCATCACCTTAAGCCACGGGCTTAGACGGGCTTAGAGAAAGAGGACCACAGCACGGACCCAGACCGACATGCATGCACCTGGACCGACATGCGCAGACCCGGACTTGTGCGCACACAGAGCTCGGGCAGACACCGCAGGGCGCCAACTGGGGCCGGCACGTTCCCCCTCCCATGAAAACGGAGCTCCCATCACCTTAAGCCACGGGCTTAGCAGAAGAGGACCACAGCACGGACCCAGACCGACATGCATGGACCTGGACCGACATGCGCAGACCCGGACTTGTGCGCACTCAGAGAGCTCGGGTGGACATCAGAACGCGGGCAGACACTGGAGTGTGCCAGCTGGGGCCGACACGTTCCCCATCCCATGAAAACGGAGCTCTCATCACCTTAAGCCACGGAATTAGCAGGAGTGGACCAAAGCGCAGACCCGGACTAACGCGCGCGGAAGGGTACGATGCACGCGGACCACGACCGATACGCGCGGGCAGAGACCGACACGCTCGGACTAGGGCTCACACTGCCCCTCGCCACTGGAACAGAGCTTCCATCACCCTAAGCCACGGGCTTAGCACAAGTGCACCAGCAAACGAGGTAAGTCTGCGCACAGATCAGCGCGCCCTCTCCCACCCGTCACCCTAAGCCACGGGCTCCCTGGCCGCCATAGCGCAAGTGGACAAGCAAATGAGGAAAGCAGCGCACAGACCAGCGCGCCCTCCCCCACCGGAACAGAGATTGCGTCATGGGGGAAAAAATAGAGCTGGGGGAATGCGAACACATTTCCAAGCCCAGCATTATCTCGATACCTAAGCCGGACAAAGACGTAGCAAGAAAACGACATGCCAATATTTCCGATGAATGTTTGTGTAAAAAACCTCAGTAACATATTTTCAAGCCAAATTTAACAATATATCAAAAAGATGATATATTATGACCAAGGGGGGTTTATCCCTGGCATGCCAGGCTGGTCTAATCTGTGAAAATCAATCAATGTGATACATTACATGAACAGTTGAAAGATAAAGACCACATGATCATCTCAATCGATGCAGAAAAAGCATTTGACAGAATCCAGCATCATTTCTTGATAAAAACTCAACAGTTTACATCTAAAAGGAAAGGCTGGGCACAGTGGCTCTCGCCTGTAACTCCAGCACTTTGGGAAGCCTAGATGGAAGGAATGCTTGAGCCCAGGATTCCAGACCAGTCTAGGCAACATAGTGAAAACTCATCTCTGCAAAAATAAATAAATAAATAAATAAATAAATAAATAAATAAAGCCAGGTGTGGTGGTACAAGCCTCTACTCCCAGCTACCCAGGAGTTCGAGACCAGCCTAGGCAACACAGTGAAACCTCTTCTCTACCTACCTACCTGCCTACCTACTTACATACATACATAAATGAGCCAGGCATGGTGGCGCAAGCCTGTAGTCCCAGCTACTAGGTAGGCTGAGGCGGGAGGATCACCTGAGCCAAGGAGGTCAAGGCTGTGGTGAGCCATGATGTTTCCACTGCACTCCAGCCTGGGCAATACAGTGAGACCCCGACTCAAAAAATAAAAGGCCATTTATGAAAAACCTACAGCTAACATCATAATCAATGAAAAGTAACTGAAAGCTTTTCCTCTGAGATCCAGTACAAGGCGAGAATGCCCACTCTCACCTCTTCTAGACAACATAATACTGGAAGTCCTAACAAGAGCTATCAGGCAAAAGAAAAAAAAATAAAAGGCATCCCAATTAGAAAGGAAGAAGTCAAATTATCTCTATTTGTAGATGGCATGATTCTATACATAGAAAACCCTAAAGATTCCACAAAAAACTGTTAGAACAAATGAATTCAGTGAAGCCACAAAATACGAAATCAACATTAAAAAAATCAATAAAAGCATTTCTATACATAATTGCTAAGCTGAAAAAGAAATCAAGAAAACACTCCCTTTTATAACAGCACAAAATACTTAGGGGTGGGGTATGGTGGCTTAGGCCTGTAATCCCAACATTTTGGGAGGCCATGGCAAGAGGACTCCTTGAGCCCAAGAGGTCAAGACCAGTCTAGGCAACATTGCTAGACCTTGTATCAAAAAAAATTTTTTTAACTAGCTGGGTGTGGTGGTGTATGCCTTTAGTCTCGGCTGCTCAGAAGGCTGAGACAGAAAGATCATCTGGGTCCAGGAGTTGGAGGCAGCAGTGAGTCATGACATGCCACCGCATTTCAGCCTGGGTGACAGAGACTTCAACTCAAGAACAAATAAAAACTTAGAAATAAATTTATCCAAGGAGGTGAAGGATTTGTACACTGGAAAGTATAAGACACTGATGAAAGAAACCAAAGATTTAATAAATAAATGTAAAGATAACCTGTGTTCGTGAACTGAAAGAATACTGTTAAAATGTCCACACTACCAAAGCAATATCCAGATTTAACACAATCCCTATCAAAACCCCAGTGGCATTCTTCACAAATTTTTTTTAAAAACCCTAAAATTCATATAGAACCATGAAAAAATCCAAAGCAATACAGAAAAACGAAGTGGGAAGCATCAGATTTCCTAATTTAAAATCATATTACAAAGTTATAGAAATCAAAACAGTATGGTATTAACATAAAAACAGAAATGTATGCCAATGAAACAGAATAGAAAGCCCAGAAATAAATCCAAACACAGTTGGTCAACTAATTTTCGTCAAGAGTACCAAGAAAACACAATGGGGAAAGGGCAGTCTCGTCAATAAACGGTGCTGGAAAAATTGCATTTCTACATGCAAAAGAACGAAATTGGGCTTTATTTTATAACACATGCAAAAATCAACTCAAAATGAATAAAAATAACTAAAACATAAAGACAATGTTTTAAGACAAAACTTCTAGAAAATAACATGTTGGCAATGACTTTTTGGATGTCACACCAAAAGCTCAGGCTATAAAAGCAAAAATAAATAAATAAATGGGACTGCATCAAACTAAAATAATTTTACACAGAAAAAAAAAATCAACAAAATGAAAAGGCAACCTACAGGCTAGAAAAAAATATCTGCAAGCCACTTATCCGATAAGGGGTTGATATTCTAAAATGTATATGGAATATTTATAACTCAGCAGCAGAAAACAACCTGATTAACAGATTTTAAAAAATACTTTATTGGTGGCTCATACCTGCAAAGCACTTGAACAGACATTTCTCCAAAGACATAAAAATGGTCAAGAGTACATGAAAAGGTGCTCAACGTTACTAACCATCATATAAACTAAAACCACTGTGAGATATCACCCCACACTTGTTAGGATGGCTACTATCAAAAAGACAAGAGATAACTAGTGTTGGCATATGTGGAGAAAAGGGAACCTTACTGCACTGTGGGTGGGAATATAGATTGGTTTATCTATTATGGAAAAAAGGATGGAGGTTCTTACCAAAATTAAAAATAGAACTACCACATGACCTAGCAATCCCTCTTCTGGGTATATACCCAAAGGAGAAGAAATCCATACTTTGTAAAGATATCTGCACTCCATGTTCATCGCAGTATTATTCACAATAGTCAAGAAATGAAAACAACCTAAGTGTCTGTGGACAGACAAAATAAAGAAACCGTGGTGAGCCAGGCTCGGTGGCTCAGCCTGTAATCCCGCGCCTTTGGGAGGCTGAGGTGAGTGGATTGCCTGAGCCCGCGGGTTCGAGACCCGCCTGGG